GACATAAAATGGATTGTTCCTAAGCACAAGAACATCTGACCTTCATAAAACTATATACCTAAACGACATAAAATGGATTGTTCCTAAGCACAAGAACATCTGACCTTCATAAAACTATATACCTAAACAGAAAACAACTTTACTGCCCACATCAAGCTAGCAGTAACTCCTAACCAAACTGAGAGCAAAAAGGAAAGAATTAAGCATTAAAGTAATTTCTATAAAAACAGCAATTCTTTCTAGAAACAGAAATTATCATACCTAAATGATCCAAGCCGAGCTGTTGTGTAAGTAGCTTGCCTTAATAGCCCAGCTGAAAGACCCTGCTCCATGAAAAGAAAATTCTAGGTAAAAACTTCAGAGATCAAATAAGAAGACTTAAAAAAAAATAGGACCTCAATAATTAAGATAAATAAAAAAAACGTTGTGTGCCATCAGAATATATGTCCCCTCTGCGTGATCCTTTACTTGTCCAATGCAATCTTTCTCAGAGGGTGCAGCATGAAAGAAGGATCATCCTATCAATCATATTTCAGACCTCTACTTCCCAAAAATTATGGTCAAGGCTACCACCTGAACAATCAAAAATATGTAATCCTGAGTTTCCTGAGTTTTAGATCATGTGATAGGGTTGGTGTAGCTCCTGTGACAGACAAAATTAGAGAAAGTCATCTTAGATGGTTTGGTCACATTAAACGTCTGATGATCCGATTAGGAGAGTAGATGTTTTAGATTTGACTTGTGTTAAGAAAGGCAGAGGCAGACCTAGGAAGACTTGGGCTTATTGTATAAAAAAGGATCTTAATTTACTAGAACTAAATGAAAATATGACACTAAATAGGACGCAATGGAGAAAAGGGATTCATGTAGCCAACCCCACGTAGTGGGATTAAGGCTTTGTTGTTGTTGTATCACTTTGTCAAACACCCTAGCATTCTTCTCACCCAAAATCACATCACAAATAAAATCATACATGGAATCATAAGCGGAGGGAATGTGAAGGGAAGAAATGGTTGGGTGAAGATTGGTAGGTTAGTCGGGAAGAAAACTCAAAAATCTCACAAAGGTAAAACCAAGAATAACAGGTCGGCAAAGCACCTAAAGAACACATGAGCCTACTTCAAGAGACAACCTGCTAAAAAGAGCATATTGTATCGTGCACTGAATCAAATAAACATCCAAGATAAGGAGTACACTACATATATGATGCATTCCATCAAGCCACCATCAAGTAAAGCGAAAGTGCTGCATAGCGGAAGAGGTCGCCCATTTATTTTGCTCCCATGTTGAGAATAGCAAACCTTTTGCTAAAGGTCTGGGGTCCAGTAAGGCTCATTTGCACAAAAGTACAAAAAAACATCCCTACTAATTTTGGAAACTTTAAGTGTGCATAAGGAGGCAAATTATGAGAAAATAATTTCTAGAAAGATCTCAAAGTGACTCCTACCTTCGATCATGTAATTTAATGATGTAATCGAATCAACGCATTACGAGGAGCTACATCATTCAAGTAGATCTGCAAGCAAGAAAAAGTGATTTCTAGGAACCAAAGGAGAGCTATAATACATGTGCATCCAATAGGTCTGGAGCTCTGCTCCTCTAATCACCTGGTATAAAAGCCTAACATGAGAAGATTGGCTGATTAAGTAGGAGAGAAGCACTTGTAAACCACTTAAGAAAAATGGTTGGTGATATTCTTCCAAGCTATGATTGCATGCCACTGTACAAGGTGCCATTCGAAAGAAATTAAGATGCCACGAACCAATGCACTCAATGGTTCCCTAATGGATGGAAAATTTAGTGCCCCGAATCGATAAATAGACAAGGGTTGGGCTCGCGCAGCTGAATAGCCAACCAAATATTAAAACTTCAACTTCCAGCTAGAGTAGAATGGGCAGAATCTTATCCATATGAGGCTAAAAAAGGGAAGGATAATGCCTCCAGGAGAGAGAAGAGCCGAGTAATGGAAAGGGAAGGCAGCAAACGCAAAGCCAATAATCTCAGAAAGAGTAAGTAAGTTGTGGATGCTGGTCGAGAAGATAATGACATGTAGTAATTGATCGAGAGGCTCGCTTAGCTAACAAGGGTATCACATGACTCGCGTAAATATGCCCCAAGTCTGAAAGCTCTCTTCGCGACTGACCAACCACATTAATTATCAGTCAGTTGGTCTTTTACTTCACATAACTCACAGATTTATCAAAGATAATCCAAAATAAAGCGAACGTTGGGAGCTAAATTCAGTGAACAATGATCGCTCAATTACAGAATGCAATTCTAGGATTCATGGACTGTTTAGAAAAAAATTGGAAATCAAAATTGAATCAATAAATTCACTACCAAGCCAAGTATGATATAAGAAAACGAAAGAAGAAGAACTACACCTTCTCCCTTTCTCTGAGACGATCCGGCGCAGCCCATCGTCGGAGATTTTTCTCGATACGCCGATCAACGTGACGGCAGGTCAGACCATCGCCACACCCACAGATCAGGAAGAACAGCGATGGTGAAGGAATCAAGTTGCGAACGGCGATGAGGAATCAAGCGGAATTCGTGGGGTTTTGAGAAGAGGCAGGAGGTCGGATTTGCGAGGTCAAGGAACCAGTTCCCTGGACTAACTGCTGCTGTTAATCTGGGGTTGTGAACGAGTTCGAATTGATGCTCTATTTAAGGGAAAAAATTTGGGTACATAACCTATTTAAGTTTAAGAGGATGAGCCTACTTATTTATTATCAAAAATAAATATTAATATTATTTTAAAGTTATGTTATAATAAAATTATAAATAAAATAAATAATTACAAGAAAAATAATGAGAAAGCAATTAATATAAAGTACAAAATTTTAAGATTTTTAAATATTTAGATATGCAAATCAATTCATGACCCAACGTGTCCGGTCCTTGGTTGGTTAGCTCATCAAGCTCAGTTTAGGAGCCACTTATCAAGCCATTCTTGAGTTTACTCGAGAGTCGGTCTGACTCACACCACTAACTGTTAGAG